AGAATCCTCCACCGCCGACGTCATTTTGAAGATGACGCGCGTCATTAAAACGCACGCGATGTATCGCGGATACTTTGTGGATAACGGCGCGAATTTAATATACTCTTTTGTCACTACGAGCGCGTGACTTGTGGCGAGGGGGAGAGGGAGGGAATTGTTATTGCCCTTCGCCCTTTCCTCCCCGTCCCCGTTCCCTTCCATCCCGGGGCGATAAATTATTTTCGTCTCGGCCATCGTCTGGCGGTAGAAAGTATACGAAGGTGGAGGAGACGCGGAGGAGTCGTCCCTGAAGCTTTTCAAGCCCGACGTAAATTACAAGCAATAGATATATCCTAACCGGTCCGCGGCGCGGCTTATTTATGGACATCGCTTATTGAATGCACCGTATGCGAGAGCGCGTCGTGTTCTCCGCCGCCGCCGCCGATGCTGCGGTGGAGCCGCATCACGTTGCCATCGGCCGGGCCGTGCGAGCTCGCGGATCGCGCGTGACGAATCGTAAGGGCTCGCCATGTAGGTTGTTCCGCGTGCATTCCGGACGTACACGGGGCCACGCGATGTTCGCCGTGGGCCGGTTCGATTCCACGTTTATCACTCTACCCTTTACTCGCGCGACAATACGCGCGACGTAGCCCCGTTTAATCGAGCGCCGCCCCCGCCGTCTTAACGTTACGTTTACGCTTCCGTAAAGCGTGGAAAGATTCCTGTACGTCGCACCGTGCCTTCGTTTTTACGTCTCTTGCCCTAAAGCGACGCGAGAAAGCGATCTTCCGGGACGTTACGTTCGCCAGCCTCCTTTTCCAGTGCCCCCACGTGTTCGCCACCTCGCATTCCGATTTGTCCAAGTGACACGTTCCTCTCATTCACCGTCACTTCACGTGTCTCCCCGTTGTTATCGCATTGCGCTTGTATCGCTCTCATATAAACCACAGTGCACCCGCCTTTTAATTCAACTTCGACGGACGATTCTGTCTTCTCTCACTGGACCACGTATTTGCCGCCACGTATTCAGATTTGTCCAAGTGATGGCCCTCTTATTCACCGTCACTTCATGTGTCTCCCCGTTGTTATCGCATTGAGCTTGCGTCGCTCTAGATTTCATGTATAAACCAAAATACACCCGCTTTCTTATTCAACTTCGAGGGACGATTCTGTCTTCTCTTACTGGGCCACGTGTTTGCCACCTCGCGCCCCGACGCGAGTTTGTTTAGCCCACTCGTGGTGTCAACGAGCGAGACCTCGGCGGCGGGTGGCTGACAGTGATTTCGCGGTGGGCGCCACACGGGCCCCGGTTTCTGTTAGGCCCTCAATTTCCGCCCGGGCCACGAGGCGTCGACGGAGCCGCGGCGACAGTGATTACCTGTTTATTATGTCGGACGATGACTGATTCGATCCTAGAGCGCGCGAGCTATTTTAAATAAAGGTCGCGCGCGAACGTCCCCCCGCGCGGTCGCTCGTCAAAGAACAACAAATACCCGGTGCATTTGGTGCTTTCACACGGTCAAATTTGACGTTTACGAGTCTGTTTAAACCGCGAAGAGCTGTTCCCGCGAGGAGTGCTTATGACACCCGTGTTATATCAACATTTTATCGAATTACGCCTGTATCTCCTTAAATACCGCCGATCGTACCGTTTTGGCTTAGACTCGCCTAGTCTAGCTTTCGCTCGAGGATTACGAAGGACGGTGAATATCCAGGAACGTCTTTACGTTTTTTCCTCGCCTAGAGACGTCCGCCTAGAGTGTAGGGGGGGTCCAGGTTCAAACCCTGGCTGAGGTAATATTTTCCGCAATAAATTTCCTTTCATTAGAATTGCCAGTTGCGTCGTTTAACAATTTTTCGACATTGAAAAATTATTTTATCTATAGATTCCGAGGTATGGAATTCGTAGACTACATTGAAGTCTGGTTTGAACGAGGCAGTAATGACGCCCCAGTGAATATCTATCGCACTACAAACGGTATATGTTGAGGGGGAAACCGCTGAGAGCATTGTGGTGTACATATTGCATTACTAGGCATTTTTTGGGGCATTAGTTTGGGTATTGGGTCTTGCTGGGGTATTATAAAGATAAAATAAAATAATAAGATAAAGTAATGCCCACTGGGCATTAGTGGGCATTGGTGTACAAGATTTTGGTCAGCTGTTTCCCCCTCGGTATATGTCAATAATCATTCCAGCAAAAATATATATAGAGGAAAGTTCACTATTATAAGACAAGTTCCTAACATGAGATAGCAGGGTTTCTGTTCAATTAACAAGCATCATCTATTGGTCTTGAAGTGAAATCTTAGTTTAGTGGAAAATTCATTGTTAGATCGTGTAATCGTCGCGAAAAAAGATTTTGATTGAATTCGGACGTTGAAAATCAGCTATCTCACAGCCTATCTCCTAGCAGGAGACTTTTCTCTATGATCATAGGGAATATATAAAGCAAATATTAAGCGGGGATGCACCTGCGTCTAGTTAAGATCACCCTTAACTGCGAACTCCGATAAACTCTCTGATTATTTCGTGTCCGAGCGGGTTACACGTTTCTTACCGCGCTTGATCGGTATGCATTTTGCGCGGTCCAGCATTTCTTCGGGGTCCTCGCGTCCCTCTTCCCACGAAGGGCGCACCGTGGACGCGTTTAAACGTTTTTCTGTGCGATGCTCGATCGATCGAGACGCGAATTCTTTCACAGGCTGGACTCGCGCGGCAGCTTGATTTATATACATACAGGGTGTATCGGGAAGGCGGACGCGCGCTTTCTCCGAACAGCAATAAACGTAAGCAATCGCTTGGAAAAAATTAATATATATATTCCTATTCGTTATATTCCTAATTTTCGAATTGTAAATAATTTACACTAGACGATTCGAACGTTTTACGAACATAATCATAAAATGTTATATTCCAGTTCGTGGAATCTGAAAAGAATTGCAACTTGAATTTCCGTTATGGACAAGAAGTTGTGGAGATATTGCGTAGAATAGGAATGCACTCTAATACACGGAGAGAATTGTCTCTCAAAATTTATCCTGAAAATCATGTAATCGTGGGGCAACATTTCGAAGAACTTTATGAGAGTTTTTTGAAATTTCACTAGTGAAACGTACGATAAAATTAAACTAGTAAAATTGTACCGTACAATTTACCCTAGTACTCTAATAAAATTTAAAAAACCGTCACAAAGTTCTTGAAAATGCCGTGTTGTCCCACGATTACATGATTTTCGAGATAAATTTGAAAAGAAAATTCTTCCCATGTAGTAATTGCATTCCGTTACATTTTCCTCGGAGCAAGACCAACTTGAAATTCGTTCGAGGGGTTACAGCAAATCCGTAGACACCGATACACCCTATACATGCAATATATACGCACGACGAGCCACCGTTGATCGAAACTGCTGAACCAGTTTCGTCTTTCGTGCTAATCCACCTTCATCGCTCGTCATTCTCTCTCGCGCTGCCCGTTCTCTCCTGAAAGCGCACTTTTTTACGCTCGAAATTGGCGTTTCGCGGTGACGACTACTGTTTAACTCGCACGCTTAAGCACTCAGAAGTTGCACACGGATTCGGATGACGCTCGCGAGCAATTTCTACGACGGGGCCGCAAACGCGGTCGTATAGCCCTGCGTTTTAAAGATTACTTTAATATTTAAGAGAGCTTCCTCTCTTCCAATACAAGACGATAAATCAAGGAAATACAAAATTATAGAACCACTGCCTTGCAAAAGTACGGGTACAATCGATATAAATATTTCTAAAAATTTTTAAGTAAAGCATTTACTTTACGGGTAACTTGAAAATTTTATCACTTTTGTTCATATTTATCATATTTATCGTATTTTCATTTTTTTTGCATATTTCATATAATTTAGGAGTTCTAATATGAGAAAACGTGAGGGCCAGAGAAGCTTGCGCCAAGACCGTGGAATATAATTAGAAGTTGTTTCCCTCCCCAGATCTATCGCACCTGTCGCGCCTGCGGATCGGATAGGACAAATGCAATCGCGGCGGATGACGGTGCGCATTATCGTCCGCGGAATTGCCGCGTAATTAAAATTTATTCACGCGATATGGCTCGATACCTTGTGCGTTACATTACGCCGGCCATGTAATACGCGACACGTACGATAACGACGGCGCACGGCGCTCGGCCAGCACGAACACACAGGGGCTCATTAAGGGAATTTATCGGCGATCGCGTTGCATTAAGCTCCTTCGGCCGGCTGCCGGGGCTAGCTTTAAGCGCGGCTGCATATAAATTGATAATTTCACGAAAGCGCGCATACGATGTACGCTTTAGCGCTTGTGTCAAGGATATATGATCGGGATTACGCTGCCCCGGACGAGGGGAGCAGCCACGCACCCGTGGATCACGGGAGTAATTTTACTCAAAGGCTCTTCATTAACACGATCCCTGTTTGAAAACACGTCCTTAACGCTACGCGTCTGCCTGACGCCGTCGATGCCGCCTTGCCTCAGCCGCTCCTGCTTCTTCCTTCAACGAAACTCCAAGGAATAGTCCGAGATGAATAGGGACTTGAAATAGTTGCACTCAAAAGCCACTTTCGACGGCTTCCCTCCGACAAATTGTAAAGGATAGCTCTCTCAGCAAATCCTTCCGGTTATACGCCGCTTCTCCCCCTCCCCCCCCCCTTTACCACTTTGTATTTTTGGAGAGTACGGTGATGGGCAGAATGGTTACAACACCTTTTTTACTCGCTGACCATTCCGGAATCATTTTGAGCGATTTTGATCTATTTCTCGAGTAAAATTCGCCTCAACGAAAACGTTTTGGAACGTAAACCTGATTTTAAACGCGCGTTCCTAAATTCATTTTTAAAAAAGCATTGCAGCCATTCTGTCCGTCACTGTACAATTTTCTCTTATCACGTGTCACTTTCATTGTTGTTACTCTCGCCGTTATAAAAGTTACGAGTTTTACTTCGTATGAAACATGAAGGGAAAAAAATAATAAAAAAATAACACGCCGCTGTTTTGTTTTGTTTCTAGGGGTATTGCAAAAGCGGGCGAACCCAACAATTTTTTACCGATGTCACCAGGTTCCATACACATAGAACCGGTCTACGCGTCCCTGAGAAGAAAGCAGAGGAGGCTCGTTAGAGAAAATCCGGGAGTGCTGATGGCGGTGTCAAGGGGCGCGAACCAAGCCATCAGCGAATGCCAATATCAGTTTCGCAACCGGCGGTGGAACTGTTCGACGAAAAATTTTCTCAGAGGGAAAAATCTCTTCGGCAAGATCGTCGACAGAGGTAAGGGAATTGATGAATCGACGACGCGCACGCGACGGAAAATAATGAGACCTAATTTGTTACGATGTTGCGTAATATATTTATATCCAAGAGCCAATAATCAATTTCGCACTATTTCCGTGAAAAGCCACGTGTTCGATTCACCGTCGACGTTAATTTGATTAAAGAAGTAACAGGTGAGCTCCTCGTTTCTACGCGGGAACAAACGTCGCAATAAACGATACATACTTGAAGATGTGCTTATTCTACGTCTCAAGAGACGATCCATCGTGCCACGATACCTATTGAGATTCACTGGGGACGAGTTTCAGCGGAAGAAACGAGAGAAATAAGGAGCGAGAAAGAGAGAGAAAGGCCCGATCGCGGCGGTTACGATCACGAGTGACAAATCTGTCGATTTGCTTAAGCCAACACGGGCTCGGGACGTCTCGTAACGCTTGGTAGATTAAATAATAGAGGGCCGTCATCTCGTCATCGCAATGCGTCATCGCCGAGCGAACAACACCGTCGATATAAGTCGTGGACTTGTCAGGGTGCAAAGCGAAATTTAAAGCGGCATCACTGGCCTCTTATCTAGCCGAAAAGCGAATGTTCGAATGGATCATATTTCTCTTAACTTTATCTCGATTATACATAAACGTACGATAAAGCTTATGAATTTATTTATTGTGCTTGTGCTTGTCGAGTTTGTTAAATATACCAACAAGAATATTCTTCAAGTCGCCAGCAGTTCAGTGTTTTCTTCACCATGCCTGGCATTTTTAATAATACAGAAAATTTATCGCGAAAAATATTACCTCAGCCAGGGTTTGAACCTGAACCTCTCTACACTCTAGGCGGGCGTCTGACCAATTTGACAAATTGGTGTTTGTAATGTTTATGGAATATATCTGAAACGCGTTCAAGATAAAACGCAGGTAAATTAGAATATTACAGACTACACAAAAATTAACAGCTTCGACACGCCTCATAATTAAATAACAAAATGCATAATAATTACATCAGCATAAATGAATGATCTCGTTGCACGAATCTACATTTTTTACGTAGAATTCGTACATGGCATTATTAAGTATAACAAATAATTATATTTACCGAGTGCATATTATTCCGTTGCTATTTAAGACCGCGATCGGACGCCCGCGGTGCTCTCGACAAGGCGCATTAACACCTCGTTCGAATGCGAACGATCGCGTAGATCGGGCGCATAGAGCCGCGAAGGCTCCAAGTCGTCGTGGGGTTAGAAGGACGAGGGCACGACGATGCCCCGATGAGGAGAGAACCGAGGCCAGGGGGAGGGGGACTTTAGGAGGCGTGCCCTTCGTCCGAGGGCCCCGGGCACGTGCCCTCACCGGCCAGATGTATGTTTTGCAACCTGATAATGGACCTTCTCGTACCAGTTCTGGCTCCCCTGCGGCTCTTTTAGATCTCGTCGAGGCGATTGTAAGCCGAGCTTTTTCGCTCGAGCCGCTCCCACCCCATTATGTCGAATGTCCCCATATGGCCACTTAGTAAAACTAAAAGAAGTACACGGCGCAGAGAGAGAGAGAGAGAGAGAGGGAGAAAAGGGGTAGAGAGCGAGAGAGTAGCGCGCGCGTTATTTTCACGAGGCTGTAACACGCACGCCTCGACGCCCAGAGACACGTTTCGCTTGCACACTGCAACGCGAGATAATCGTAACGTCGCGATGGGGTGACGCGGATTGGCGGTTAATACGAGATGTTCCCTACGGTGTGTCTGCGACTGACGCCGGCATCTAGTTGCCGATAGATTCGTAGCCTCCGTGCGCTACAACACAATCGGCCCCTTATGTATTTCCGACTCACCCTCCGATTGTATTCACTCGCTGTTACTACAGCGCATTTGTCGTATGCCAACATACTAAAAATGATTAACTGTATTTCTACCTGGGATACCTTGAGGTATCATCTGTATAACAATACCGCGAGTCTTCTGCCCTCGTTGTTTTTTTTTTAAGTATCTTCCTGATGGGACGCTATTGCTTGCGTTATTGAGTACGGAATTTATGGAGTCCGCGCTCATTTCGAGTGTCTTGCGAGGTTTTTATGAAAGCGTTCACAGAGCTGGTGTGTTTAATACATTTAACGTACATTCAATTCGACGTATAATAATCTCTGTGTACGCGTGAAAAATCATTCGAAGAGTTACGCACTTCTCACGCCGTTATTGCTGCACTTTGCTGCCGTTTAAGGGATAAAGACGCGGCGCGGCAGCTATTAAAAATTCCATAAATTGAACGGGCGTGCACGGCGACATGCGGCACTTATGCGACACCTGTAAACGAAAACGTGAGAGCGCCATGTGGCATCCATAACGCTTGATGTGTTAATCAAGCCCCGAGAAAGCCACTCACGGATAATAACGCCGTCGGGGACGGGAATCCGTTTTTACATTTGCCGCGCGTCTTCTATGATACATTGTTCTGTCAGAACCGGGTGGAAAATGATTACGTACGAATCGTGAGGCACAAAAGCGCGTCACGCGGTTTAAAGATCGATCGTAATGTTAATTCCTTGTCAAGATTAACCATTGTGGGAGATATTAATTTGATGCGCGCGAATAACCTGTCACGACGACGTCCGCCAGTCCATTGCACGAGGCGCTACAGAATATTTGTTGCGAATAAGTAGAATTTAAGCGCAAATTCGTGCGAGTTAAAGAAGTTAATCTTTAGAAACAACGCTCTCTCGCTTCTTTGTATTTGACGTAAAGTGTATTTACGAGGACCCACGTTTAACCCTTTGCGTATTAGCGATTTCGCTACACGGAGAGACCGATGTGGTTACCACATGTCTAATTAGGGTTGGCACAACCCCAATAAATAGTAATATTTGGGACAGCTATATCTGTGGTTGCCATACCCACATTCGCCTGACAAGTAGCGAAGACAACTATATACGTTTTGTGCAGCAAACTTATAGCGAATTCGGTTACTTGCACTAGTGCACACTGAGTGCACACTGAGGGTCGTTTACAGTCAATTCTTCCATTAAAGGCTCTTAGATATCTCTTGAAATATTTCTTAGCCAGTAAAACGATCTGTAAAGCATCCGTGCCTCTACTATTTATACGGCAATATTTAAATTTTAGTTACTTTTGCCTTAGCCGGTCTTTCCGTGTACGAAACCACTGAACTGTCCTGCGCAATAGATTTCGGTTTATATACTTTGCCTTTTTCCGTAACAATCTGCAGGATCGTTCGCACAGCTTCCACGAGACGGTCCTCGACCTTTCACCTTTCGTTTTCATCACCCTGTGTGAGCGCGGACCAGTTTCCTCCGCTCTTCTCGCTGCCGCCTCTCGCGTCTCGTATCTTCTTTGTCCTCGATCCTCCTCGAGATTTGATCTTTCGCCGTGCTGGCATAAGGGAAGCACAGATCGCTATCAACTGCCGGTAATGCGTTCTTGTACTTGTCGCATTCAAGGATAAGTTCAAGGAGGGGATGAGAGGATCAAAGAGGGGGTCCGGAAAGAACTCGCAGTCGAACAGCGGTTTAAACGGCCGTTTCCGGATTATCAACCGTGTTCAAACTGTCGGCGGTCATGTCGGAAATATAAGTTGTGAAAGTAGGATCGCGACGTATAGATTTTCAAGCGGGATAACACGAGTCTATTGCGTCGTATTGGTCTCACGTTAATATCACCGGGTGTGCCGCGCGTCACGTTACGTTGCGAATATACATATTTATTGCAGCAAGAAAGCCGCGTAGAGATCCAAGTTTTACTTTTAGTTTTACTGCCGCGAGAAAAAAGGAGCGTTTCGTATAAATTTTGAGCCGCCGGTTGAGAAATACGAGTACCGAGTTACAGGGTAGCTCTCTGTATGCGTGGAACATTAATTTTCTCCGCGCGAATACATTATCGAGTACAGAACAAGCTGTCAATCCACGCTGGAATTTCTAATAACGCGCGAGCAAGAGACGGTCTTAATATATTCACGCGCGTCGGTGTGTGAAACGCAACAATTAGCGATTCGGCAAAAATCGCGACGTCGATTAATATGTATGCGAACCGAAACCTTTGTCGACAGGTAACACGAGAGCGCTGGCCGCGTGACATTTGAATTTAAATAATACGCAATCGTCGCGCACACGAGAAAGAGCGCACGGGATTAGCGCGTCTGGGATCTGGCGCGCGAGAGGATTTTCGGGGTCCCGGCTCCGATACTTTTGGCCGCGTTTGTACTCGATATTATAGCTGGTAGTGAGTGCGTTCGCGGCCTGTAATCATTTCGCCGCCAAGAGCCACCTACCGCATTGGTACCCTCGCCTTCCTCCGTTCCTCCGTCTCGTTCCTTCTCCCGGCTCCTCTTCCGCTCCTTTCTCTCGCGGCTTTCTCTCGTGCCTCCGCGTCTTCCTCCTCTTCGGCACACACCGTAGCTCGCAAGAGCGAGCCTCGCAGCCTAATTGCTCGGTAAACTGCGAGGACTCCGCCGCATCGGGCGCATAACACTGTCCCTTCCTCTCCCAGATTATTTTTGACGAGCGTAGCCGAAATCATTCGAGTCGCAAAAAAAAGGGGGACAACCGCGCCATCGATGATTCGTCCGCGTATGGGAGTTAATTTAATTCGAAGCTCGGGGGATGAGAATAAAAGGAAAGAATGGACGGCCAGATAACAATTCTTGTGCGCAAATGTTGCTTGTCTTAAGGCTTGTATCCACGATCCTGGAACTTGGTCCAAGTTCTAGTTTCGAGGACACAGGCTTTAAGCCAACGGTACATGATATTATTTTTCCTACTAGATTGCTTACAGGAGCCAATCAGGATTTAACTTTGAGTCACCTGATCTAGAACTCTGCATCCTTATTGGTTCTCGTAAGCAATCCAGTAGGACAAATAGTATCGAGTGCCGTTGGCTTTATGCACGCAAACTTGTACGAGATTTACCTGAGTTTCGCTCGTAAGATATGTTTAGTTTGTGCTTTCGCACGCAGGTAGTTAGCTCGTGTATTAACGTGTAATTTTGCGCGCAAATAT